TCTTTTCCAACCTAAACAATTCTATGATTCTATGATTCCCCCAGACATCTGCTGAACAGAATTGCCTGTCCTTTCTTTTTCTCATTCTTCACAACGCATTCCTTGAACTGAAAATTTCCAAAAGTTTTCGGTCTGAGGTAGTCAGCAGACACAGAGAATTTCCATCCAAAAGGGTAAACATTGGTAACGTGCTAACCAATGACAACGGGATTGTCAAGTGAGAGCTGTCAGGCAATCTTTTTCTCTGCTCTGCTTATCTTACAGCAGATAAGCATTGTAGATTGCTTGGGACCTTGTCAGTTAGCTTTCAATTTGTGTAAAATAAAACAGAGCGAATTGTCATTGAGGACTTTCGCAGCAGCGTGGTAGGCCTGTCAATGCCACACTACTGTTTTCTCTCTCTGATGCAGAAAAATGCTTTTTATCTCCTGCAGTGCCTGTCTAATATAGTCAGTTCAAAAATGCCTTTTATGGGGTTAGGTAACAGTTATGATACAGAGGTCAGGCCAATTGTGATTATTTGCAACAGGACCACCCCTGCAGTCTGGTAGAAGGCAACACAGCAATGCACGTAAGCACTTTTCTGACCTGCCTGGGGCAGGGCTGCTTCCTTCCTACGCTAGCAATAAGCTCAACTTCTGATTTTATCTGATGCAGAGTGTTGTTTAAAACAAAAGCTACCACTGAGCTACCACTTTTTCTTAAATACTCTGATATGAAATATTATATAATAGTGTGCAGAAAATTTTAGCAGCATACATGTGCCATATAGAGCATCTTTCACATACAGTCATAAATTCCAGTGACCTGCTGCAGCTGGAAGTTGCGCTCTTTCATGGGACAAATTCTCTCATTCACATTGGAGGATCTGGTGTTAACACACTGGGATGACTCTGTGTATCAAATTCTCTGGTTTAGCACTTTTCTGAGTCTAATGTGATGAAAAAAATCAGTTTTCCCCTTATAACCCAAGGAAATGTTGTGTAGTAGGGGTGAACATGTCACATGAAATGTGCTATACTGCAGCTGTCTAGTAGCAGTAAGTTTTAGCATTGATATTAGCTAAGGCCAGTATTGAAACAAAACTGAACAAGATAGTTTGGTTCACTCAGCCTTGCCCAGCTATTAGCTATTTGTAGTTCCCCCAGGCCTCTCTCCTTCATCTCTGAAGACTCCTTTCAGCACCTTATGGTTTTGTCAGTTGCCCACTGCTGTGTGTCTGCACCTCTTCTTAGGCTTCAGCAGCAACCAGATATTTGTACTTTTGGAGGGGTATTCAGACAAGTGTCAAACTCTGATATAGAATCAAGTGTATTTGCTTTTTTGGGTTTTTTTTTGTTTTTATTTTACTGAAGATAATAAAGAAGTTACCTGTATTTTTTGTAGGTGGATCTTTGTAAGAGAGTACTTATTTCATCTTCATCTTCTATCCAGGCATACAATACATCAAAAATAGTAATTAGATTCTGTATTTAGAATTTCACTGTCTTGAAATTTTCCGTGCAAGTGTATACATGAGCAGGACCCTTATTTCAGAATGTGCCACAGTTGTCAATGGAGTTCTAGCTAACACAGCTATGTCGTATTGGGAGTTAAGTTATTTATCTGTGTTTCACATATGGGGAAAGTGAGAAATGGAGTGATTAAATGACTTTCTTAAAGAAATGAGTGGCAGAAACAGGAGTGGATGCAGGTCTGCTGATGCCCAGTCTACTGCCTGTAGTCATAAGAGCAAACTCTAAATGAGTATTTATAGTGGAAAAGTGTGCATGTTAATTATTGCAAATGAGATGGTTGTAAGCAGACAAAATCAAGCTACAGTAATGGTTAGTATATTCAGAACATAGCTTAAACATCTGTGCCTGTCTTCCTTCTAACATGGCACAACCTTTGCAATCACAGACCATGGTTTCTTACTTTTAAAATGCTGTTTCCTTTTAAAGAAGGACTATGATGTGGAGAAGGTTGCTCAGAAGTCTGATGAAAGCCAAGTAGATGGTGGACAAGGAAACCTGCCTGGCACTAGAAAAATCTATGAGTTCTACAACGCACCAATTGTCAAGTTCTGGTTTCACACGGTTGGTCATCACGCTAGGACTCGGATTGCCAAAACCTTCCTTTGATCCTTCAAATACCTCTTGATGCTGCTTTTACTTTGCCTAGCATTGATTTGCAGCCACGTACAGGTGGGGGTGGATGGGAAGACATTTTAATATTTCTCTCACAGTTAATTGAAAAGTTTTTCTGCTAAAATCCTGCAGCTGCATTGAAAAACAACCAACCAACCAACCAACAATTATAAGGAACAAAACAAAAACCCAAGCACAGCTTATTACACTAGTTAATTGCACATGTGGAGATAGATTTTAAGCTGGCCTTAAATATCTTAAATACCTCACAGATATTTGTGTCCCTTTCTTCAGGAACTGTTTCTGAAGGAGTGAACATTTATCTGTAGGATATCCTCTGCCGTAGAGCAATATGCATTTATTAAATCAATTTTAGTAGCTAACCTTGTGTCAGTAGAGCTTAGGATGTTTAAGATCAGGCTGCTTGGTGGTTCAGACCACCATGTACATAAACTGTTACTCCTTTAACAGGGTGTTGTTAACAGTTTTATAGGTTGTTAATCTATTATCTCAGTATGTTTATAGCATGTTCTAGTACATTTAAAATATGTGCTTTCCACATGATGCCGTTCTTCTTGCATTTTGGAAGGCACTGATTAAGCAGTGGTGGCTCATGTAGCTTTGAAAATGGTTACTTGCTCCTACAGGTTAGGATAAAAGCATAGCACTGCCTTTACATTCAGGTAACGGTGTGCAGATAAAATAGTCTGTCTCATACATGAGTTTGGGGCCTAGGTGAACATGTGCTGTAATAGTTCATCTTCTGCTCCAATTTTTCAACATTAAAGCACCGATTTCCAAATGATGTGTAAGGATATTCCCATAAAAAATACTTTGCAGAACGGGAGGAAAGATTTTGGGCTCAAAAATCTGACAGTGCCCCAGTAGTTCAAATACATATAGTCAGGCTAATCACCTGTTAATATGTTTGCAGAAATTTGTTGGAGATTTTTGTGCATATGGATTGTGTACCATGTGTTTTGTAGATGGCGTACATGGCATTTCTCATGCTCTTCACTTACACTGTGTTGGTGAAGATGGAACCAAGACCAAGTGTGCAAGAGTGGCTTGTTATCATTTATATTTTCAGCACTGCTATTGAAAAAGTCAGGGAGGTAAGTTTTTCCATTCACACTTCTCATCTACAGAGGATATATTATAAACCAGAGAATACCATAACTGAAGAATGCCAAATCCTGCATTCTTTTTGTAGAGAATTTAGCAGAGGAAAGAATTATACAGGGCATTTATTTCTGACAAGTCCTTTATTTGAAGAACAGTACTTGGGCTTTGAAAGGGCATCTTAAAGTTTGTCCTTAAATGTCTGGTTTTGTTTCTAAATCCAGTGGTAATGTGCAGATTGCTTGAGAATGATTGTGCTGAATTGATATTTGAGCCGCAGTGTAGGCACCCATTTCTTAATTTTTTTGAGTGGACCATTAGATTTCTTACAACAAATATGGAATTTGTCTTTAGATAATTTACTTTGAGTGTGGACATTGTTATCAATTAATAGGTGTTATGTGTAGAATAATCTGTGGCTCTCCATCAAGTCTAACTGACCCTCTATAAATGAAACTGGAAAAAAACTACCATCAACTTTTAATGCTGGATTCGTTGAGCATGGACAAATGATATTCCAATCAAAATTATTCACAATTATTTGCAGTTGATTAGATCCAAGCTACTGAACACAGTATGCACTGCAAACCTGAGGTTGGAGACAAATGCAGTTATGTATTTCCCCAAATTATTGTATCTGATTGGACATATCTTCACTGTAGAATTGGCACATAGTAAACAACAATAGTATGAATTGTCTTTTATATGACATTTGAAATGCTGTACTTTCAGAGGAATAAAAGTGCAAAAAAGCAGTCACAGTTGTGAGTGAAGGCTGCTGTTACAACAGATCACTCAGAAGACTGTGACATCAGTACAAGAGAGGTGAAGGATTTCAAGGGGCAGCAGAAATGCTGGGAATATATTGAAGCTTGGATAAACATACAAGTTTTGTGGCTGCATGAGATAAAATTGAAAAAATCTACACAAGGATTGTCTAGTTGAGAAAAAAATTGAATGTGAAATAGCAAGCACTTTGGAAATCACCATTGTGCTGTTGCATTGTGTTGGTGGTGGGACAGTGGAAACATCAGCTCTTCTTTCTAGCATTAACATTCATTGGAGAGTTTGAAATTCATGTCTTCTACTTGATTTTCTTTGTCCATGTACTAGTTCTGGTCTGCTGGCAAAGACTTTGTAGGACACTGTGTCTTACATGAGCAGCTAATTAACTGCTGAGAGCCTCGTTATATATAACTGCAAACCTCTATTTCTCTAGATTGTATCAACTAATTGTTAAGCCTTAGGCCCTGATCCAGCAACTAGTTCCTCATGTGAGTTAGTCCAGCTGAATTAAGTAGGATTACTTGTTTACATTAATGTGTTCATATGCGTATTCTTGTAGGATCAGGGTGTAACATTTCAAAATCTCTCCTTTGCTTGGTACTTATCAGTGTGATCTTACATAGCGCTGCATAATTGGCCTCACTTGCACACTGTGCAAAGGCTTTATTTATGGCCTCCCAAAGATTCCACTTCGCACATTTGCTCAGTGAAGCTTAAAATCCCTTTGGGGCACCTCACAGTTCAAGGAGTAAACATTTCATTCTTCATTCCTTACCTTGCTAGTTGCCAGCACACCTGTTTTTAGCATGTCCTTGATGGAATACAAGGATTTTCAGTCTGAAATAAAAGACATTAGTTATTTTCCCATCAGCAAGGTTAAGTTGGTACTTTCCATGACTTAGGTGCTTTTGAAAGGGCTGTTGCAGGTCATGACCATTCCTCTAGAAAATGCTCGTTAATTTGTAATGATGTGTATGTATAACAGTTCTATACTGGCTGCTCTTTTCTGCTGCGGAACATGCTTTTTAGTGAATGGGTTCAGGCTCAGAATCCGTTTTTCCTTAGGAAGAGCTGTCGTATTTGTTGTGGCATACTTGAGCAATACAACACTATAGATTAAGTACAAACCTCAATTAAAGGCGAATGGCAAAATGCAGTACATGGGCCTGCAAAAAAAAAAAAAAAAAAGAAAAAATCATACATTCCCAAATATCATGAAACAGTTCAGACAGAAAAGCGTTAAAGAATGTATCTGTGATTTTAATGTAGTTTTGTGGTTTTTTTTTTCCACATTCTACTCAGGTATTTATCTCAGAACCTGGAAAATTCCGCCAAAAAGTGAAGGTGTGGATTTATGAATACTGGAATTTTACCGATTCTATAGCTATCATCCTGTTTATGATTGGTTTTGGCTTGCGCTGGTCCGATGGCCCTGTTCAAACTGCAGGGAGGCTACTTTACTGCTTGGATATAATATTTTGGTATGCTCGACTCCTTGATCTTTTTGCTGTGAATCAGCATGCTGGCCCATACCTGACAATGATTGGGAAAATGGTAAGTATTATGCTTTGGAGCAATATTTTTGTAGTTAAGTCATCTATTAAGGAATGTGTAAAGGTCAGAAGTGACAGAAAAGAATGGTGGTCAAAGGAGAGGTCACTTAATAATTCATAGTGAATGTATTACCTGAAAATACCATGTCTTTTTCTGTTTGTGAGTTGACCATAATCAGATTTTCAGTTCTCTCTAATTTATTCATTATTTGAATTTATTCACAAAAGCCATTTTTGCTTCATTCCTTAGAGAAGGGTTGCATTTGAGTTGAGTTTCTGATCCAGCTCGGTAATAGGAGAAAGAAAAATCACTGTCTTTTGCAGACGGGCTCACTACTATAGATAATTCCCCTAGCTCTTGGAAACTGTCTGATTATTATTTTACATTTTGATTCAAATAATTATATCCCATTTTAGCAGGCAAAATTTCTCTGAGATCAAAGTTAATTTTTTTTCTCTTTTGATATGAAAACTGCTGCTGAACTGCTGCCTAGTCTTGAGGGACATATGCAGATTCCCACTGTAATTTCCCTCAGTTATTGGGAACTATTTTATTAATACTTTTATATTCTGTCTTGCATAGTAATTCCGATTCAGTGTTAGAAGGCAAAATCATTTTCACTGCTATTCCTTGCTCTCAGTTTGGAAGAAATACCACTGAGGAAAAGCACCATGATAAGGTCTCTGCATTTTTCAAATCTTGGTTAAGATCTTAAGAGGCACTTGAGAGGCAAGTAGGACTTGTGGCCTTTTTGGTCCAGGGTAACTTTAACCTCTATAAAATACTTGGGTAGTCCAGGTCATAGAAATAAAATATTTTTATTTCCTCCAGCATATTAGATTATTAGCCCTGTTTTTACATTCTGATTTGTAAAAGCAGGGATTGATAATCTTCTCTAAAATGTATGTCTCCTTTACATATAATTAACAGCTAATTCTTTCATGCAAACATGTCTTCCAGACAGCAAACATGTTCTATATTGTGGTCATGATGGCCATAGTGCTGTTGAGTTTTGGAGTGTCACGAAAGGCAATCCTTTCACCAGAGGAGCCTCCTTCTTGGACTCTGGCACGAGATATTGTATTTCAACCCTACTGGATGATGTTTGGTGAGGTCTATGCTGGAGAAATAGACGGTAGGTAGTTTTCACAGTACAGCTCAACAGCTTAAATTTAATATGTGCAGTAACATGTCCACTTTGGGCTACTAGAGTTTTGACCACAGATTGAGTCTATTCTCAAACAGTTTTGATTCTAGTGTATATATGTCCTTAATGAGTAATACTGCATGAATAAAGGTGAGAATATTAGTTTCTTTGTTAAAAATTAAAGTTAAGCTTTAAAGCCTTCAAATTTAGCTTTTCAAATGAGCTCAGAGCAAAGCACATAGGAACTAATACTCAGCTAGTTCATGGTCAGGGGATCTGGTGGTGAAGTGAATTTCCAATTAGGTGAATCCAAAGCTGGATTGGAGGAAAGACTACGAAGTTGCCTTAAAGGAAGAAAGAATAAAGAGAAAACAAAAAAGAAAAAATAAGAAAGAAAAATTAATTTTCACCATAGTAAGAATTACATGGCATCCTTCTTAAACAGATAAACCAGTTGAACATAGGAAAAATAGAACCAGTCAGTGTAAATAGGAAGAATTTTATATCTTGATTATGGCTTTGGCCTTGTCTCAGTAAGAAAGAAGAACCAGGCACTCCAGGAGGTACTTCAGCATTACAGACAGAATGTAGTCTCATGCTGCTAAGCGATGGGTACAAGTAAAACAGTCCCTAAAATAGACAAGTAGGTATATAAATAGATACAGATACTTAAGATACATAGTTCAACACAGACCTGAAATTTAAGATGTTGCATCCATTATTATTATTGCTGAAACAGTCACGTGATGGCTATGTATTTTGGTTATATAAGTCAAAATTCTTTTAATGAAAGCACACAGTTAAATTTCACATTTTAAATCATTTAATAACTTATTAATGCTAAACCTTTAGAAATTTGACACTTCCCAAATAAAGCTATGATTTCTCTAATGACTTTTTACGCTGCGGAATATGTCCTGAATTTAGGGCTGCTGCCTCATAAATGTGTGTTAAAATTTCCTCAAAGGTGTAAAATTTGATTAAAAATTATAGAGACTGAAAAGTACTTATTTTGACAGTTTAAAAACATTAAGAGGGATCCCTTCATTTCTAAGATTTGTTGCTTCATCTCACAAATATTCATAGCCATATATCCTTTTGCACATGAGTTAATATGATCTTACTGAGGCTCTAAAGGAATAACACTCCAGTACTGATAAAGCAGCCTTTGTGCTGTATCCTTTCCACAGTGGAGGCAGTGAAAGCTTTGTTTTAAGGATCAAAGATTTGGATTTCAGTTTACTTGAGTGTGTGCCATCTCCCAAATACATTTCAGCTGCATCATTTTTCCCCTTAACAAAAAGTCGGGGTGACTGGCATAAGAACTGGTATGTATGAAATGGTATCTACAGCTTCTGAATTGCAATGGAAACTATGGGGCAGTAGTATCATGAAGAGGTCTCGGATCTCCTTTACGTGGAGGTAGACTTTTTAGTTGGAAATTTAGTAATACATCTCTGTGAAAGTAACAAAGACTATTCTGTTTCTCACTGGGGCAAATGAGGAGCACATGCCATTACTGTGCTCTGCTCTGAGTTCCATGCTAACCATGGTCTGTATGTCCTTCACTTTCAGTCTGTGAAACCAATGAAGACTGTCCTCCTGGCTCCTTCCTCACTCCGTTCCTCCAAGCTGTCTACCTCTTTGTGCAGTACATCATCATGGTCAACTTGCTTATTGCTTTCTTTAAGTAGGTACTATGGTATATTGCTGCAAAAGCAACTAATATGTGTTCTGCCAACACTTCGCAAGAGCCATTCACCAAAGATGCACTAGGAGGGGCATGTTGATGGTGGTTGTTACCCCATCTTCCATGTGGGGTGTTGTCCTGGTTTCGGCTGGGATAGAGTTAATTTTCTTCCTAGTAGCAGGCATAGTGCTGTGTTTTGGATTTAGTAGGAGAAGAATGTTGATAACACGCTGATGTTTTTAGTTGTTGCTGAGTACTGCTTATGCTAGTCAAGGACTTTTCAGCTTCCCATGCTCTGCCAGGTACACAAGAAACTGGGAGGAGGCACCGCGAGGATAGTTGATCCAAACTGACCAAAGGGCTATTCCATACCATGTGACGTCATGCTCAGTATAGAAACTGGGGGGGGCTGGCCAGAGGGCAGCAATTGCTGCTCAGAAATGGGGTAGGCATCGATCAGTGGGTGGTGAGCAATTGCATTGTGCATCACTTGCTTTGTATATTATTACTATTATCATAATTATTATATTGTTGTTATCATCATTACTATTTTACTTTATTTCAATTATTAAACTGTTCTTATCTCAACCCAGGAGTGTTTCTCACTCTTACTCCTCTGATTCTCTCCCCCATCCCGTCGGGGCAGGGGAAGTGAGCGAGCGGCTGCGTGGTGCTTAGTTGCTGGCTGGGGCTAAACCACAATAGGCGGTTGAATAAAAAAAAGAATGGTGGAAGCAAGAGGGTGGGCGGAAGGGGATGGTGAGCAGACACCTAAACTGTTTTGCCAGTTAAACAGAATCTGACTCCGTGAAAATGGACAACTTCAGTTGGCAAACAAGCAATATTAATTCAGCTCTGAAGTAATTTGTCCTTTGTTCCTAAAAATTGTGTTTGTTGTGCTGACAGCCTGTATAATGTTCATCATAGGGTAGCCCAAGATTTAAATTGGCAGATAAGTGGAGAAGGTATTCAGGGGAAGAGGATAATGACTTTGTAGGAGCATGTTCTTCCTTTAGGAAATAATTTGAAAATTGCTGTTGTTTGGTGCAATTTGATATGTTCTAGACTGAAATCTAACTGTAGTGTTTTTAACTATCTGCTTTTTAATGTCTGGTGCCAGCGTAGGAAGGGTCTTTATAGTAATTCATAGTAATTCTGTAGTAATTAATGAGTCTTTATAGTAATTCTAACCTTTCAGGTTTTAACAGGGAAACCCCTGTAGCTGATAAAGTTCACTAAAATATTAGTAAAGAGCAGTCTAACCCCAGTAGTTAATTATTTTTTCCTAGAGTTCTAGTATTTCTGGGGAAGAAAAAGTCAGCTGTAGGTGAAAAAAATTTCAAATGAAGAAACGTAGTGATTAATATTTAAGAAAAATGAATGATCAAAACTCATTCTATTCCCACTTCCAATTAGAAGTCCCCTTCGTGAAATTGTGGCAAGGCATTTTTTTTTTTTAATACACAGTTGTAAAATTGTAATTTGAATTATTTCTAGATTTAAACCTTCAGCAATGATGATATGTTAAATCTTCTGCCTAGTGATTTGATTGTTCCAGAAGTGGGACCAAAAATGGGTATCAGCACTATATTTAATTATGCTCCCAGAAGCAAAGTTGATGTTTTTGTGATTGTATGCTGGGTGTATAGTATGATGGTTCAACTGAAGTGACAGTGGCAGAAACCAAAAAGTTGCTTTGCTGTTTATGGTAGTAGATACTGGAAGTTATTCAGTACAACAACAGTCATGTTTAGTAACATCAGGGCTCCAAAAAGTACCCTGCAGAAGAATTGCTCATGTAGCTGTCTCTTGCAGCAATTGTTTTGTTTAGGGGGAGTGCACTGAAGAGCAGCAGAACCATTTTGTTAACACTCTTCCCTTAGCCTGAGTCCTACATTTAATCCAGTCCAAAAAGGCAGACAATGTTGAATACTCAGTTAGGCTATGTATTAAAGTTTAAATAATCTGGCTGAGATTTCAAAGCCACTTCAGGGATATATTTTGCCCAGTTCCCATTAACGTGAGTGGGAATTGGATCTCCAAATCCGTTAGGCAGCTTTGAAGATCTCATTCTCGGTGCCCTAGCTGCAGGCACATGCTGCTGCTTCGTTAAATGAAAGTTGCTAAGCTGATTTACCTCACTGGAGGGATGGGACTCTTTTTCAGTGTCAAATTAGATCTGTAGACAAGCATCTTGTGCTGTATTGGGAATATTCCTCACAGGAGTGTTTTACCCTCCTTACCCTTCTATCTCTCTTCTCAGTAATGTTTATTTTGATTTGAAATCCATATCGAACAAGCTCTGGAAGTACAACCGGTACCGCTACATTATGACCTACCATGAGAAGCCATGGCTGCCTCCACCTTTCATCCTCCTGAGCCACATTGGACTTCTGATAAACCGCATCTTCCACCATCGGCCCCCAAATGAGCTGGATCAAGAGGAAGGTGACGTTGGACTAAGTAAGCAAAGCTGAGCTTCAGACCAATAGAAATAGCTGATGAGGAATGTTTTGCCAGCCTCTCATGACTTTGTAGCTCAGTTCCTCCAAAAAAAAAAAAGTTTCTCTGGGTAGGAGGCTGGTTTTATTTGCAAAACTGAATTTAACCTGCCTGTCTGAGTACTCTTGTAGTAAAAAGTGACTAGGGGAATGCTTTGCTTTGTATTTGGCTTTTGCTGTGCTACATACTGTGCGTCAGTCAAGTTACATCACAACTCCGAGCTGAAATAGTGACGGCAGCTTTTTCTGTAGGATAGAATAGCCTTATTTTGAAAGAAAGTAAAGAATACTGGAAGTATACATTTCTGTGTATTTGTCCTGAAAAGACCAACAATTCCTTTTTAATTGCCCAGAGAAAGTAGCCACAGACCCCAAGGACAGAGGAGATCCAGTGATGGTAGATGCAGAGAGAGAGCATAGGGGCCTCTCACCTCCTCACTGCACCCTTCCCTTTGTGCACTGGCTCTTCAGTGCACCTTAACCCCTCCTTCTTCACCCTTCCCAACCTGGACTTCTCCATCCCAGGGTCTTTCCTAATGCCTCTTTAAGGCCATGTGCGTTCCCTGTCCCACTGTTGACAGCTTCTGCAGCTCTGCCAGGAGCAGCCCTAGCCATTGCAGGGAGGGGCCCACAAGATGCTGGGATGGAAATGAATACTCAATAGCAGGCTTGGTGGTTGATGGGGTGAGGCAGGGGAATGGGCAGGAAGAGAGGCTGGTGGCTGTAATCTTATCTGAAAAAACACTGGGGAACATTGGTGCATAGTATTACACAGCTTCATCCTTTTTGATGCAATATACATCCTTGATGCCTAATAACAGAGGTGTGCAGACCCTGCCTAGGTTAAGCTTTACTTAAGATTTTCTCTGCTGAACATGAATCCCTAAAGATATCTGTCATGCTCACAGGTGGTTACAGAGTTAAAAAATGGGCTTAACTAATCAATGCTGAGCTGCTTTACTGATGCTCCCAGGCTCAGCTCCTCCATCATGACTAGATACATCAGCCTGCCTTTGAAGTACCACTGCTTATTTTATATGCATGCATAGTATAAGTCACTGACATAGCACAGAGGATGTCTTGTAAGGTGTGTTAGGCACAAGGAAAACTGAAACACTGCTTAGCACATCTAAAAGTCCTTGCATAGAAGAGGGCTCACACCTTGCCTACCCTTCTCTCAGAAAGAGACTTTTTTCCTGTTTATGTACCGTTGTGTCCCTTTTGTATATGCCTACGCATTGCTTGATAAGTTTCTTCTACTTACATTTTGGTGTGTTTATAATTAACTGGTTTTAGCAATGAGGATCCAGTGCCATCCTGTGGAAAATCAATGAAAATACCAGGCTACAGAGAGTAAAATCTGGGAGGCAAGAACATAGATGGGTGAGGAGGGGAAAGAGCCTAGGAGGTGATCAGGTCTCATTTGGAGTGAGAGGGAGACCCCAGAACACTGCGGGGGGCCTTC